GTCATTGTGCCAACATTGCAGCCCAGAATCTATGGACTCTTTCCCAACTGCTGCTGTAAGAGGGAGGTTTCTTTAGCTGACTGATTACTCATAACCCATCAGAAGGGAACTGTTAGATGAGTCCAACCACCCCTCCCTCCCTCTCTCTCCAACAAGTTGGCCATCTAAACACAGAGTCTCAGTGCAGTGATGCTCTGCACAGTCTGCAATGTTCATTTCTACTGGGATGCAATCCTCCGCTCTCATGGAGACTGTGAGGACAAACGAGAGTGGATAGAACACAATAAAGCACAGGATGACAGTGCATATTAACCACAAATCAACAAGATTATCAGTATCTGTGCTATAAAGACAAGAGCTGAAGCATTATTCTATACATTATGACTGTTGGTGGTGGTCCACATTTGACACTCCTTTGCTTGGCAGAGGAATTCGCTAAATATTGCTTAAGTTGTCACAGCATTAATTCCTAAAGCTAACGCTGGGGCTCCAAACATAAGAAACCTGGCCAGAAGTTCAGGTTATGTACAAGAAAAATATGTTCCTTTAACAAGTCACCATAGTTGACTTGGAAATGCAACATAAAGGAAGATTTATTCTGGACACAATGGGAATTTCTTCAACAAAACAAAATTCAGTGCAATGTCCAGCAGAGGAAGAGACATTTCAACATAATGGGAATGAGGCAATTTCATTTGCTACTAAGATATTTTAGACATTGCCTCCAAACACCAACTTTGACATTGCTTTGGACAGGTGAAAAGAGCTAATTGTTTTAAAACAAAGAACCATCACTTTAAGCCAGCCGCTGCCAATTCCATCCCTCGAGTTTGAGCAAAACCAACACTTTAAGGCATTGCTGTATGAAAGGGCTCTAGAAGCTGAGCACTCAGAGACATTGTCAGATAGAATATGTAGTTTTCATCTAAGAAAGTGCAAAAGTTTGAGTCGGTCTTTGCAATTGACAATTGTTATTTCATCCCAATCTGTTATTGCGGTTTCTTGCACTTGTAGCATTTCCTTTATCTAACAGTTAAAGGATGCATAACATCACAAGTTGTAGTTCCATACTTAAAACTACTATAGGTGTCTGCACTTGCATATTTATAGTACAATCTCAACAATTACACTTTGTTCCATAAACAACAATAAAATAGAATAGATAAATCTGGCATATTGGTTCAAACGTGTGGCCAACACACTGCAGTGATGCCAAGGGAACATTCTTTCCTTTAGAGAAAAAGCCTCTAGTTGGTTCTCCTGCCACAAAAAGTGAAAAAGGACTAAAGAACATGTGAAGTAAAATCATCAACATTGTCTGTTTGGCAATTATTAGGCCAGGTTCACAGGGTTATTTTAAAACTCAGTCACTCAGGTCTAATGTAAATATCGGTTTACTCTGAAGTGTAATTCAGATTCATGGATTTGAAGGCCAAAAGGGCCCACTGTAATCACTAGCGTGAACTCCTGTAAGCAAGTCACAGAATTTTCCAAAAATAATTTCTAGAGCATCTTTTTTAGAAAAATATCCAACCTTGATTTAAAAATAGTCAGTGATGGAGAATCCACCATGACCCTTGGTAAACTGTTCAAGTGGTTAAGTTATACATTTTTGACAGGGTAATTATTTCCAGTCTGAATTTGTATAGCAGCAACTTCCAGCCATTGGACCATGTTAGATCTTTCTCTGCTAGACTGAAGAGTCCATTATTAAATATTTGTTCCCCATGTAGATACTCCTAGATTGTAATCAAGTCACACCCTAACCTCCCTTTGTTAAACTAAAGAGATTGAGCTCTGTGAGTCTATCACTATAAAGCAGGTTTTCTAATTCCTTAATAACACTCCTGGCTCTTCTCTGAATCTGTTCCAATTTATCAATTCCCTTCTTGAATTGTGGGCACCAAAACTGAACCACAGTATTCCAGCAGCACTAGAGCAGTGCTAAATACAGAGGTAAAATAACCTCTCTACACCTACTAGAGATTCCCTTGTTTATGCACCCCAGGTCTGCATTAGTTAGCTCTTTTGGCCACAGCATCACACTGGGAGCTCACATTCTGCTGATTATCTACCACAACACTCAAATCTTTCTCAGAGTCACTACTTCCCAGGACAGAGTCCCCCATCACGTAACTATGGCCTATATGTTTTATTCTTAGATGTATACATTTCTATTTAGCCATATTAAAACATATAGTTTTTGCCCCATTTACCAAGCAATCCCAGATTGCTTTGAATCAGTGACCTGTCCCTCTTCATTATTTATCATTCTCCAAATTTGTGTCTCAATTGCAAACTGTCAGTAATGACTGTACATTTTCTTCTAGATAGCATAGAACTAACCCTTGCAAGACCTCAATGGAAATATATCTGCTTGATGATTATTCCTGTTTACAATTAGATTGAGACCTATCAGTTAGCCAGTTTTTAATCCATTTAATGTGTACCACAATAATTTTATCCCATTCATCCTTTTAATCAAAATGTCATGTAGTACAAAGTCAAATGCCTCACAGAAATCTAAGTGTGTCAACACTATTCATTAACTAAACCTTCAATCTCATGAACACAGATCTGGAGATAGTTTGACAAGATTTATTTTCCATAAACCCATGCTGATTTGTATTAATTACATTACCATCCTTTAATTCTTTATTAATGGAGTGCAGCATCTGCTGCTCCAATATCTTGCCTACAATCAATGGCAGGCTCACAAGCCTATAATTACTCAGTTCATTCCATTCACCCCTTTTTTTAAATTGCCACAACATTAGCTTTCTTCCAGTTTTATGGATCTTCCCCAGTGCTTCAGGACTTATTGAAAATTATTCACTCTTGCCCTCTCTGGAATCAGGCTCAGTGCTCATCCCTCCAAGACACTCCAAGCTCAGAATCTCCTCTTTACTTTTCCCTTTCCCAAGAGAGTTCAGGAGAAACCTAGATCACAGTTAAGGCACATCTCATCTGCCTTGGGCAGCCCCAAACCCATGGCTTGCTGAGTATTACTTATTGAGAACAAACAAGGCACTCAGTCCCATATCAGACACAATGTGCCCAGGTCAGTGACAGTCTAAGATGTTACAGACTGGGTTAGCACCGGTGGGAGAGGTGCGCCAGGCTAATCGGTGAGGGGGCAGTATCGCTGAGGTGCATGAAGCAGGTGAGTGGCTGGCAAGATGGAAACATGGCCCAGAGAGGTGACGGGGTGTCTGCAGGGGTGACGGGGAAGCCCACTGGGGCAGATACTACAGGGCCCAACAGAGTGACAGAAAGGCACCACAGGAGCCCGTTCGCAGGGGGGACAGTGAGCAACCCGGAATGGGGGAAGGCCCGGACGGGGGAGCGGCGGCGGCGCGGAGTCCGGGGCTTGGTCTACAC